CAGGGGTGACCGTCTCTAAGTCTGATCATAGGGTTTACAGTCATAGTTGTTTGAATTTAGTTGGTGTCAGTTTTGTTTATCCTTTGACTAATGTAATGATTCTGAAATTTATGATATGAAAGAAGGCTAATTGAGGATAAAAAATACATAAAGTTTAAAGTTTAAAAAAATAAAAGTAAACACATACACCTAAAGGTTGTGATGTACATGCTTCTGCACAACGAATAACAAATAGAGAAAATTTAGAGTAAAAGATACGACAGTGCCAAATTTTCTCAAATTGATGTAACATTATTTTTTCTCAAAATGCGACTCATGTAATCTTATTTAGGCCAACATTTTTAGTTTTAATTAATCTTTTTATAGGAATAAATTATCCGATTTCGAGAACAAAACATATTCGATCAATAAATACTCCGTATTATTTTAGAATTTTGACTATGCTTTACCCGCAATTTATATCGTATGACCGGCATACCATGTGCATGATATGCCGGTCCAAATACGACGCTGTTTTTCTCGGTTTTTCTATGGAGCACTACGTTCATTTCCTTTCTTTTCCTTCAAGGCTCAAGCCTCCAGATTTCTTTGGAGCACTATCTTTTTTTTTCCTTCAATTATTTTCTTCTCTCCATGTAAATATTAAAAACTAATTTTGATTTTTCTTATATTCATATTTAAGTAATTAAATTGTAATCGAAATAACTTTTTTCTTTACAAATGTATTACAAATTTTTCATAATCCACATAAAATAAGTACTACAAATTTATTTTTAGTGTAATATTTTTTACATTTATACACTTTTTCTGTAGAGTATTTTTCATGTTCACACACTTTTTTCTATAATATTTAATTTTATCTCTTTTAGATGTTTGTGACGTTTTTAAGACATTAAGTGTGTTTATTTCGATTTAAATCTGATAAAACACGAGATTATATTTTTCATACGTGTGAGCTATGTTTATAGAAAAATGATTTTTATTTAAAACATATTTATTTCATATTTGTTTCATATGCATTTTCTTTAAAAATAACATAAATACATTTATTGGTCAAATAAAATAAACTTTCCCATATGAAAAAATGATTTTTCTTTAAAACATATTTATAACCTTAGTATTATAAACAAAGCATATTCACTATTTATGTAAATTAGTTTAATAATTAAACTTCTTAAATTATTTTCATTGTTTACATTTGATATTATATGAAGTTACATCTTCTTATGCGCGAGTTACATATGTTTATGCATGCGTTACATCTCAATGTACGCGAATTACACTACGAAATAAACCCCTGCTAATTTAATGACCAAAAAAAAATTAAATGATTTTTTAACTACATCATTTTGTATAGCCCTAATATTAAAAAAACATATTCACTATTTACAAAAAGCAATTGGGCAATTAAGATCATTTTTCTTATATTGAAATCAATGTTTATAACACACACACACACATATAAGATAGTTTACATTTCAACTTTTCTAGATTTACATTCTAATGTACGCGAGTTACATCTTAATGTACACGAGTTACACCACTAAATAAACCCTTACTAATGATCAAACAAGATTTTTATAGCCCTAATATTAAAAATAAAACATATTCACTATTTGCTAAAAGTAATTGAGCAAATTAGGATCATATTTAATTGTTTAGATTGAAATCAATGTTTTTTCCTTATATTTCGTTTTAGACAAATTACATTCCAACTTGACTCAAGTTACATTTCCTATCAACATGAGTTACATTTTGTTAAACAGGAGTTCCACCAGCCTGCTACTGAAACACACACAAAAAATCACGGTTCACCCGCGTCACTGTTCATGCGATTTTTACTCGTGGGAGCATGATGCTCATAGTGGGCCGGTACCACAGTATAACAACTGTGCTTTACCTCACTTAGTTACTTCGAGCAATTTCTTTAATAAATACTATCCTCCGTCTCTTTTTAATCGCAACATGTTGAATTTTACACTATTCACATGTTGTACTTTGACTACATTTTATATTATTATTTTCTGAATATTTTTTTTTCAAAATAGGGAAAATGGAAATTAATAATCCAACCTTTTAGCGGTCTTCTTACAATAGTCTCACCTTTTGATTATTCATGAATAATCCAACCTTTGCACCTCATCTTCATTCACTGGTCCCTGACCGGTTGATGACCTGTTATTCCAAGTTATTTTCTTATCTTTGCAAAAATTATCTTTGTGAAAGGTGAGATTTATGGTATAATGGTTTACAAAGATAAGAAAATAACTTGGAATAACAGGTCATCAACCGGTCAGGGACCAGTGAATGAAGATGAGGTGCAAAGGTTGGATTATTCATGAATAATCAAAAGGTGGGACTATTATAAGAAGACCACTAAAAGGTTGGATTATTAGTTTCCATTTTTCCTAAAAAATATTGTTGAATTCATCTCATTACAAATTTTCAAAATCTAATTTTTAAATAATTTTTAATAATAGAGATTAAGATATAATTTCGGTCAAAGACGTGCGTTGACAAGTATGAAATGTTGACAGTTGCAACTAAAAAAGAACGAAGTATTAATAATACTCGTAGTAATTGTAACATAGTACTATTTGTTTGCCTTTATGATCGTGTTTATAGTTGGGTATGTAAATATGTTGAATTCTTGTTTGTATTTTATGCTATTGGTGTATAGTTAGAAAAGTCTAAGACGATTAAATGTTCATGGGGCCGTTTAAATTGTTCTCCGTATAATTATCGAGATTACATTATCGAGATTATTATACTACGTATCAGACACTTCCCATAAAAACACGTACACCTCCATTGTATTTAATTATAGGCACCTACTTTTAAATAAAGTATACTCAACATTAAACGTTTGTTTAGAGAGAATAAACAATATAGATCACACTATCATCTTCTTCGAAGGAAAAAGGTCATTAACAAAAGTAATACTCCGTAAAAAACAAAATTGGCAAGAAGATTGGGAAGTGAATTTCAAAATATTGGGTTAATTATCAAATACTAAAATGAAAGAGAGACCAAACAAAGAAATGAAAGAAAATTGTTCAAGGATGTTTTTACTTAGACTGTTTTCAGTCCAGATCAGACCAGATTAAACTTTGATAGTTATAAAATAACAGAGACAAGACATTTACAAGACTAGGTCAACTAGACCATAAAATTCCAGTCCAAGTAAAAACATCTTAAATGAAAGTAAAGCATAGATAAACTGCAAGAATAGGATCATTATTATTTTCTTCCTAAAGAGCTGAGGACATTTTATACTTTTAATAGGATCATATAAGTCTTAGAGCCTCTTTGGTAACACCAAAATCGGATGAATCGGCTGATTCTGCTAAAATTTATGAAGTTCTCGTTGACATGGCTGGATTGACTGATTCTGCTAATTTATGAAAAAATTATATTAAAGTTATACTTTATTAATAAAGTACAGAAAATTACATGAAAAAATAGTTAAAATGGTCATCTACAATAACTTCAGCCAATACTACTAGAAAAGTATCTTCAACTTTACTCTTTCTTATTGTTACAAAATATAGCGCGTGAAATCAAAAGTTATGTTTTATTTTCATAATAAAGCATAAGTAGTCCTACTTGTGCACTTTATCTAAATTTTACAATCTGTTTGATAATCATGTTTTTTTGGCTTTTCAGTAACTGTTTTCATTAAACACGTAATTTTTGATATTGCACGTTTGATCTTGTAATAAAACTAAGAGCATCTCCAATGCTACAATGTGCATGGTGCACATGTGACATGAGAGAGATAGACACAAAATATTAATTTTATGACATTTCTTTCTCCTTCTTTTCACGGTCTTATGTGTTTTTGGTAAGTTTTTCTCTTCAATGTCAACCACAATGTCTACATCTAGACATTATGCTTGACATTGTGAAGAAAAGCTTACCAAAATAATGTAAGATCCTTCAAATAAGGAGAGAAATATTCTATTTATTGTTTTTTAATTGGTTTTTTCTCATGGCACATATGCACCGTTAACGTTTTAGCATTGGAGGTTGAAGTTACTTTTTGAGTAATTGATTGAGTTACCATAAATATATAACTATTTTAACTATTTTTCTATATTGTTCTATAAAATACTACGTACGAGGTATATTTTAACTACTCCATAATTTATTTTCATAATTCACAAGATTTGGTCAATTCAACGTACCAGAACTTCATGATTATCACCGGGTTCAACTAATTTAGCCAATATTAATAGAGAGGGGGCTTGTCTAAAATGCTATAGGTTGTGTGTATATATAGTAGATGAGTGTCATTCCTGTCCAGCCGGCCTAACGGGAACTGTTGTCCGGCCGAGGGCATTTCGAGCACTTCCCGATGGAATTTTTTGATGAATTTTTTTGAGCATATTATTTATCACGTGTAGTTTATCCATACCCAATTTCAGTAAAAATTTAATCGGGAAGACAGTCAAATCATTTTTGTAAGATAACTGCACTGTTTATATATATATATATATATACAAATCGCAGTTATCTTACAAAAATTATTTGACTGACTTTCCGATTGAGTTTTTATCTGAAATTTGATATGGATAAACTAGACTTGATGAAAAACATGCTCAAAAAATTTTCATCAAAAAATTCCACCGGGAAATGCCCTCGGCCGGACGGCGGTTCCCGTCAGGCCAGCTGGACATGAAAGTTCCTCTATAGTAGATTATGCTGGCCGGTCCAGCCCAGGGTCGTCTAATGAATTTGGAGGCCCCGGTGCAAAATGTAAAATCGGGGCCCCACATTAATATAAAAAACTAAGAAAAAAATCTCAATTCAAATACTTATACTCAAACCAATGGAATATTCATTAGAAGAGAGCTAAAAAAGTAAAAGGACCAACGAGAAAAATGATGTATCTATATTTTTCTTCTTTACTAGCTAACTTTTTCTACTGATTAGTATTAGTATGCAATATTACTATATAATACTAATAAGTTTTTAAAAATATGGGGCCCTTTAAATTTGGGGGCCCTGTTCTGGATAACCTATTGAACCCCCTAAAAAACGGCCCTGGTCCAGCCAAGCCAATTAAATGTACAATGTGCATGATATGATGATGATGATGATTATACATAACACTTAATTGATTACTATAATTAATTATTAGGATTTAATTCATCAAAATGCTGCAGATTATACAAGTAATTAGCTAGGTATTAGTTAATCATATACGGAGTATTAGTACTGCAGCGGCTGAAGGCTTCCAAAGTTTGTCAAAGCAGCTGCGCCCATATTTGCGGCGGCGGCCTGAGATGCTGATGATGACATAACCAGTGGCGACGACACCCGGGGTTTGTGATCGTCGTCCCCGCCGCGGCAGTAGAGCTGAGCCGCGGTGGGCAAGATAATGGCGGCGTGCTGCTGCTGGAGGCGCAGTATCTCGGCCTGAGCCACGGCCAGCTGGAGCTGTAACTGGGATACCTGGTTCTGCAGGTATGAGATGGCGCCCACGCAGCCGTTGACCGGGTCTCTCATCCTCGCGTTCGCCTCGTACACCAGGCTGCTCACGGCGTCGCCTCTCTGATGCACCGGAATTTCCTATTTCAAACATCCAATCCCATTATTACATTGCAGTGGAAAACTTACCAAAAACACATAAAATCGTGGAAAGAATGAGAGAGAAATGTCATAAATTCAATTTTTTGTGTCTATCTCTCTTATGTCACATGTGCACTGTGCACATTGTAGCATTGGAGATACTCTAAAAGTCAAATCAAATTGTCATGATCAAACAACAACGGTTAAGATCTGAAGTTCTATCTTTAAAGGTAGAAATAACTCAGATTTTAATATAGGGTTTAATTTTTTCAGAAATATCGGATGTGCCTGATACTTTTACCCTAGCTAACGCCTTCTTTAAATTACAACAAAATTAATTTTATCTCCATAGACAATTTTTGGCCCAATCAAAGATTGAAAAACATCACTAAAAAGTTTTCTTGACTATTTATAAATATGTCATCTTGAAGGCTCTTGATACAAAAACTGTTACCTTGATGATATCTTGAATTTCTTAAGGCTCAAGACTTATGATGTTTTCTTTTGGACTGTTTTCAGTCCCAGACCAGACCAGAACAGACAAGACTCCCGTAGTTATAAAATACACAGAGGCCAGACGTTTACCAGATTAGACCAGACCAGACCAGACCATACCAGCAAATTTCAGTCCAAAAGAAAACATCTTTAACTTGAATAGGGTAGTAAAAAATGTCATCTGATCTAGACTGCTCATAAAAACGATATCTTGATTGTCAATATATATATATATATATATATATATATATATATATATATATATATATATATATATATATATATATATATATATATACACACAATATATAATGTCATGCATACTAATTCCATTTTTGTTTTTGGATGGTAGCATTTTAACTTGATGATGGTAGTTTGCCTTAATGAAGATATTATGACTTGATAATGCAACAAACATAATGGGCATACTAATTCCATTTTTGTTTTAGGATGGTATTACTGGTTGGGCTAGAAGTCTACCTTGTTTTAAAATAAAAACATTTTTTACATTCATTCTCATTTTTACTTCTACCAAGTTGCACAGAAAAATCGCAATGCTATTATTACAGTTTCACCATGATTTACTCATTTTTCAGACCTTATATCTATTTATTACGCACTCCGTATATAATTAGTCATTGGTAAAGAATCATGCACATACGTACGGTTGATAAGCCAAAAAAATATTGGCTATGTTTGGAATGTCATTTCAACTTGTTTTGAATTGAAATTTGATCAATCTAGATGATTGATTTATATGTAGCCTAGTTTGGGTGAAAAATTGAATTTGATTGGATAAAAATTAATGAGATATTCCTAATTTTATTTCAACTACCTACCTTTTAAATTACCATTAGCATATACTCCGTATATGTTAATCCTATCCTCCATTATTCAACATTTATTTTGTTTCTTATTAAAAAGATGCTTGTATGCTAGCTAATTTTATAGTTTTCAAATGTCATTTCAATTTTTCTTCAAAAAAAATGTCATTTCAATGTTTTTTAACAAATTGGTCTCTTTCATTCATCAGCTCCCATTTCAATTTCAACATATATATATTTTTATCGAGTTCAAAATAATACTCTTCAATTTATGTTCATTCTTCTATATATATTATCAATATTTTTCAAACGGCTCTAAATGTTGCAAAATGCAAAGAAAAACTAAATAGTCCTTCTGAGATGCCTTAATTAGGAGCCAGAAGGCTTAAACTCCTTGACGCTAGTATGTTCAGGCTTATGGAGTGCCCATATATCATTTTAAACAGACTGACCCGGCCCTTAATGTATTCATATGTCACTAGAGCATCTAATCTTCAAATTAATTATATTTTCATGTCCCCCTCCCCCTAATGTCATGTTGTTAATTATCACATCAAAATCTTTAATCAAAATCTTAAATAATTTCAAAAGTCCTCAAATTAAAAATCGATCGTACTCAATTAATCAGATTTTGGTAAGCCCCCACTCAATAATTTTAAGCGAAATTCAATGTCAAATAATCCGAGATTGGAATGTGATACTAGATTTTCTATTCAAATAACTTCTAGCCGAAAAGATTATTTAACATGAAAGTTTGACACATCATTTAAGCAATTTAACTATTAATCTCCAAATTAAATGAACTCATGCATGAGAATAGCTTTATTCATTACATATAGTTTTCACGATTTTTTCATAAGATTTTGGGCATGAACTGTCACCGGTTGCGGAACAACTTTTGCTCAAAGTCTCAAAAGGAGATGAATTGATTTAGTCCTATAATTACTTATGCTTGTGTAGTTGTATGCGTTGTTAATCTGGCAAATATACTTACAAGCAGATCATGAGGACTTTAATTTCCCGCAAGAATATATACACCATTTTCCGCAAAAAGAATGAAAAGTTTGAAAAATATGCTGCAAGCGTGAAAATTTTCATAATGTCTATAAATTCATTGAGTACAACATGACATTATTTGCAAATGGGTACATTACCAGATTAATAATGAGAGTAATAAGTTGTGAGGCTACAAATCTATAATTTTATCTTGTTCAAAGGTAGGGTGTTCAATGTTCATATACTTCTATGGACACCAATAAAATCTAAATATACGGAGTATGTAAAAACACATGTGCAGAATCATGTAAAAGATATTGTTCTTTCTTTATATATTGTTCATTACTTAATTTTAACCTCCATTCACAAAAAAACTGTTGCAAAAATATTTGACGAATTTTGGCATCAAACACTATATATAATTTATCGATAAACATGGATGATTTGAGTGCCCAAAGCACTATTAAAAGAAGGAAGTTTATCAATTTAAGAATTGGAAGATGGATAAATTGTCGATCTGACGAGACCTAAAAAAGAAGTGTGTCGGCGTAGAGTTTGAGTAATTGAAAACTATCAATCTAGCACCTAAAATTTCATAAGTTTTGATTTATTTTTATGAATTCCACTACTAACTTTTGCAGAATTTTTCTTATCAAGATTTTGTCTATATAATAAAATTAAGTAATATTTTAAATTCTTTAACTAAAAAATAATAAACTTCATCACAACTTAGGTCTTATAATGATATTTTTCATTTCATCTTTCACACCTTGAATTGGTAAAATTCCTTAAAAGAAGTATCCTAGCTAGCTCTTGATTATTTACTTAATCAATGTAAGACACGCGCCTTATTAATGAGAAATGAAAAAATGATGAGAAGGAAATTGATAAAAATTACGTACCTGAAGCATTTTGCTGACGTTGCTTGCGCCAAAAACTTTGTGAACGATGGCGAACTTGTGAGGGTCGTCGGGAGGGAAATAGGGGGCAAATATGCAGTCTTTCGCGCACCGCCGCCTCAGCAGTTTGCAGGAAGCGCACGGTGATGATGCGCCGCCGCCGCCGCCGCAGCTTCCTCCCCCCATTCTTAATTCTCTCTCTCTCTCTGATCGATCGCGCGATCTTTTCCTTCTTTCCGATCGTATTGTATACTCGATCCGTATCTATTCAATTTGCTTATTATTACTCCGACCACGATCCCAATATTCAATATATCATTCAAACTTAACTCATACGGAGTGCTAATTAAAGCTGATAAATGATTTTTTATGTGTGTATGATGACAATAAAATATAATATAATTGAAGCGACTAGCTAGCAAGTATAAACGGTCAATTAGAAAGAGGAGAAAATAATGAACTCAGCTAACCTATTTATAATCGCCACATGCAAAGTTAACTAATTAGTTAGCTATTGAATTATAAATATTGAATTATTAATTAGATCGGATGGAGCACATGGTAAACTGGTTGCAAAAGTAAAAGATGTAATTGAAGTTTGTGTATAATAGACTGAAATATTATGAATCATATATTTCAATTCCTTTCATAAAACTAAAGAGAACACTTATTTTGAGGTAATCTAAAAATAAAAGTATGTCACAAGACTCATTACAACTGTAACATAGATGAGCCAATTAACATCAATCATTATTGTACTCCATCCATCTCTTATAATTTTATCAACTTTTTTTTGTTGTTGTTCCATTAACTTTGATACTTTCCTTTTTAGTTAAACAATTTGTTGTTCATGTTAATTCCCTCTACTGCATATACCTTAATCACATAATTTTTACTTTATTATTCTCCATGCCGGTCAAATTTTACCAAGTTTTTAACAAAAGGAGAGAGTACTAGTTTACTCACTTAGTCGCATACCTAGCTAGATTCAAACTATCTTTAGAAATGTTTGGTTCAAAAGAGGAGAAGAAAAAGAAGGTATTGTATTTTTTAAAAAACTGCTTGTATCAGTTATATGTAATGTTAAGTTAATTTTAATTATGAAATTGCGGAGGAAAATTTCAAATGATATATATTCAAAAAATATTATTTACACATTGAGTCTAAAAGTAACTGTAGCACTCCGTATTTACTACCTCCGTCACGAAATGAAGTTCTCATTCACTATTCATTGGTCAACTTAAATCACTCATAATCTTTTATTTTATATATCAAATTTTTATCAAGTATAAATTTTTTTGATCAGGCTTTGTAGCGGTTTTAATGTAGTTTCTGATTATGTAAGTTTTATTTACTAAAAATAATCTGAATGTGAACAGGGTTTGAGTTACTTTATTGTCAGTCAAGCATCGTAAACCGAACGAGAACTTCTTTACGGGACGGATGAAGTATTTAATAAAAAATGACATATACGGAGTATAATAAGATTAATTCCTTCATAAGGTTGAATCTCAAACTCTAAAGCCCCACGCCCCGACCCGACAAGGCATATGGGAGATGAAAATCACGGTGACTCAGTCTGCACAATAGTGGTAGGCTTTATACTCCAATTCAGCATGCAGTAATTGTAACCTCCACATGGTCGTTGAGGTTTTCAAACCTTGATCATTTCTTCAATTTTTCACCACTCAATCGATTGAGCTAGATAAGTATAGTAATAAGATTAATTAAGTGTCCGTTTGGAGTATTCAAATTGGGTGATATATACGGAGTAGAATTTAAAAGATTCAAAAAGCACGAGCGTCCACCCATAATTAAATGAGTTGACATTTTAATCAAGTTTTTTTTAGTTTTCCCCAAACTCTAGAAATGAATTGGTATGATGGTGTGTACAGTGTGCCATGTATGAAACGACGATCCAATTAAAGATGGTTTCAATCGATCGAGTCACTGGTAGGAGTTGCGTTGACCACCGTCATGGTCATAATTAAAATGGGTGGGCATTTCACGGTTTGTCTAACGATCAGTTTACCAATTTCGACCTTATTCATAGACTTTTAATGGTTTTTTGTTGGTCTACTGGTACGTACGTAGTAGTAATTATTACAGAAATTGTTGTGACCGAAATAGGATAACATATTTAGTTCTTGTTATTTTGTTAAATATGTCTTCTTCTTCTTTTGGGAAATGGGGGATCGGAGTATTACTCCTAGGATAATACGGAGTATTTGATACCAGTAATATTTTTGATAATATTTTTTGATAATATTTTTCCTAATATTTAATAATAAATACAGTAATTGTTCAATAGTACTATGTAATACTGGTAATATCATGGGAAATTTTTCTAAATATGAGTAAAAATGTATTGAAATTATAAAATAGGATTACCATTTATTATTCCCTAAGTAAGAGTAATTTCTGTTAAGTTTGAAAATAATTGTCATGTTTAAAGTCTGTATGTCAATGTTGGTAGAAATTACTCATATTTGGAGAATAAAAACATGTGAATCCTGTTTTGGAATTTTAAAACGTTTTTACTCATATGTAGAGCAATTTCTACCATACTATGTGTTAAGTATGTGTTTGTTTTACACTTAATTTCCTTTGCGTTATTATTTTAATATACTAATATACGTATCACGTATGTGTTCATTTTGCATTATATAAGTATGAAATTATGAATCCCTTATTATATAAGTGATATGATATTATTCTATACTTTTGCTTTTACCACATAGGTAGTACTTCCCCGTCCCCTTTTAAATGTCTCGTTTTACTATATTGGGATGTCCCTATTTAATTGTCTCATACCTTATTTGGTAAAGTTTGTGTGACTCAAAATCATTCATACTTTATTCTTACTTTATCAATTAATATCAACCACACAAACACACTTTTCTTAAAACTCGTGCCACCCTCTTCCGGGACATTTAAAAGGAGACAGAGGGAGTAATATATAATATAATGCTCATCGCGGTGTTTGTGAACTTTGACATAATGACATATACGCCTTCACAGATTAACTTAAAGATATAAAAATTGTAGGAGTAAAAAGTAAAAACGTTTTTGAAATTTCAAAATTTTCATATTTTTATTCCCTAAATAGGAGTAATGGAGTGTTTGCAACTGCTAAAAAACCATTTTTCGACTTTTGGCTTTAAAAACCTAAAATTAGTGTTTTCAAGTGACAACTTCTATTTAATAAAGTGTTTCTCGGCTTTTGTGCAAAAAGTTTTTTTTTTTTTACTTTTTCTATTACACAAAAAACACTTGTTTACCAAACACTACTAACTTTTACTTTTCAAAATCACATTTTTCTCAACACTATCAACTTTTACTACTAATCACTTTTTCTAAAAACACTTCCAAAATTGCTTTTTTTAAGTAGAAGCAATTGCAAACACTCCCTAATTCTATCAAGTTTGAAAAAAATGTCATGTTTAAAGCCCAGTAATGCCAAACTTGGCAGAAATTTACTCTTATTCAGGGAATAAAAAATATGAAAGTCCTATTTTGGAATTTTAAAACGTTTTTACTTCTATTTAGGGAATTTTCTCAAAGATATATAATATATACGTTGTACTATCTACCATTTTATGATTTCATCATGAATAAAAAAAAGGGAAAATGGAAACTAATAATCCAACCTTTTAGCGGTCTTCTTTCAATAATCCCACTTTTTGATTATTCATGAATAATCCAACATTTGCAGCTCATCTTCATTCATTGGTCCCTGGTCGGTTAATGACCTACTATTCTAAATTATTTTCTTATCTTTCCAAAATATTATCTTTGTGAAAGATGAGATTTATGGTATAATGGTTTGCAAAGATAAGAAAATAACTTGGAATAGCAGGCCATCAACCGGTCAAGGACCAGTGAATGAAGATGAGGTGCAAAGGTTGGATTATTCATGAATAATCAAAAGGTGAGATTATTGAAAGAAGACCGCTAAAAGGTTGGATTATTAGTTTCATGAGTCACTCGATCGCCTTGAGTTAGTACCAATACATTTGCTACCTCTCATGAGTCATGAATAAACATATATGAATCTTTTTATTTTTGGATTATTCGGTTAAAAACTAATTTATGAGACAAAGTAAAAACATTTACGATAGGGCAACATTGAAAGACAAACGATATAGAGGGTATAATGTTGAAAAGGCATATATATGTGGAACAACGTTACAAGGTTGAATGCAGCGGCACACAAATTTGTACTCTGCTTTTTTTAAATGCCAAAATAGATACATGCTGCCTATTCCTGATGTCCCTAGATAAATTTGATACAAAGCAAGTAATGCAAAGCAGCCTATAAGATTTTGGAGGCTTTAGACGGTTAGATATATTTATCAGCCGGTTTGTGCTGATGGCTGTGGAATATTAACTTATTAACATTAAGATTATATGGAATTGGGGTAGTTTAAAACATTAGGGTCATTCTTCATATACACAAAATGTGTACACAAATTGTATATTGTCTGTGTATATAGACATTTTGACATTAAATCATGTCTCTTTTCAAATGAATTGCATGTGTATACAGGTAACTAGTGAGGTTTTGTGTACGAACCATTCACGTACACTAAGAAATTTTCGAAACATTACATACGGATATGAATAGAAATATGTTTTAATGATTAAAAAAAACGTAGGCGTAACTTGTAGTCTTGTACGATACATGACTTAATGTTGAGTTTATTCCAACACGATATAGTAAATATATGTATAAATGTGTATGAACACTCAGTTTTTACGTGGAAACCCGAAAGGGAGAAAACCACGGGACTTTTTAGGCTAATGTCCAAGCCCTCTCATTCTCATTAGGACTCTCCTCACCATTACAAGGTACAAATGTTGAAGCTCCATTAATGGAGGATAAAGCTAATCTAGAGAGGAGCAAGAAGAAATGGATCTCTAAACATGTGGGAAAGCCCCATATTTATAGGGGAAAGGGAGTAGGGAATAAGTCTACCCTAATGGGCCAAGTAAGCCCAAAATGGGCCCAAAGGGCCGAAACATGCCTGATAGGCTAAAACAGGCCTCACAGACTGGACTCTCCCACAGACGGCGCCAGTGTTGAGTTTAATCCAACACGATATAGTAAATATATGTATAAATGTGTATGAACAAGCTCATTTTTTACGTGGAAACCCGAAAGGGAGAAAACCACGGGACTTTTTAGGCTAATGTCCAAGCCCTCTCTTTCTCATTAGGACTCTCCTCACTATTACAATGTACAAGCTCCCATTAATGGAGTATTGAGCTAG